AAAAAAATAACATTTAGGGGATTTTTTGGGGGGGTTTAACACAGTGGCGGGTCATTTTGACCCGAAGACAACAGGAGGGTTAAATGGCGGCGCACAGGTTCCCTCCATCTGTTTCCCTTCTAAAGATGGGATTCGGATTCAGCACTCCAGGTGCAGTGTGGGTTGTGTGCACAAGTGTAAATACACACATCTACACTGAGCAATGCCACACACCCACTTGGTCAACACAAAGGCTGGCAGAGACACACTCACACACGCACACACGCAGCATGCTTACACACCAGCTGTAATGTCCCACTCTCTGTTGAGCTGACAGTGATCACGAGTGTGACACCGTGACGGCAGCAGGCTTTAAGAACACAGTAATGAGCTCCATGAGAGACTGAATGAAAGTAGGGTTTTATTTTCTCATAATTCCATGTTTTTTATTCCCTCCTTTTCATTTTACAACAATATACCTTAAATATGATCATATTTAAAACTTACTGCTCAAAAGGAAAATGTGGGCAATAATGTTTTTGTCTATGTGTTTGCAAAATATCTTATGAAACAATAAACACATTCTATTAAAACTTGTAGAAATTAATTATTGGCTATACAGCTACACCTAATGAACTTTTAAAGTTAATCCCATTTGAGAAGAATTCACAGCCAGCCTTAGACAGAAATGTCAATATTTCAGTCAGTTCTACAGATACTGAGATAAAATTTGATAACTGAAACTGTGAGACATGAGTGCAAGCAGCTTCTACAAGATATTTGATTAAAATTTACACATTAGCTATTATTTGGACTCAGCTCTGCTAATAAAATATCCTGTGAACTACTGCACATATTTCAATGAAACATTTATTAAATACAGTGGTGGACACAGTTCCCCTAAAGGACTAATAGGGGAACTATTTTCCTGATTAGTGCTTTAGGGCTTTTGCTAATTTTAAAATGTATTAGTGGATTAGCACTTGCTAAATTTATAGGCTAAATTTAGAAGCACTAACTGAGGTCTATAAATGTTATTGATCAACATTAATGTTAACAGCTGAGGGTGAAATCTGTCACACATTTTGTTCATGTGTGTCACTTATCCTCCAGGTGACAATATATTAACAATATATGAGCACAAATCCAGCTGTGGAACATCAATGATAAGTCTTCAGAGAGCAACATGACAACATGTGACTCATGTTGTCTGTTGAAGAATGTTCATGGGTTGACTGGGTTATTTTAGTGCTTTAGAATTAGCTTTTGCTAAAACTTTCAGTGCATTAGTGCTTTAGAATTAGGGGACCTAAATATTTGAGTTAGTGTTTTAGGGCTAGTGGAACTAATTTTTAGATTAGTGCTGCCCACCACTGATTAAATACTCATTAGATGCACCTCTAGAAATGTATTAACCTTTGGAGCCAATTTGAGATGGCTGCTACCGGCAATTAACCTCAGAATAATCAAAACTGGCCATAAATTTGTAAATTTTATAAATAACATGTCAATATTTTTGTGACTGTAGCTTAAAGTGAGTGTGCAAAATCTTTACTTAAAATCTTTGCCTTAACGAGTCACCCCTGTTTCAGTTATTTTGTTGATGTTAAGCTGAGATGTTATGCAGCAGTAGCTGGCAGTCATTCAAAACACATAATCTGAGCATAAGACAGAACATAAAATGTTTCAGGTTTGACCAAAACAGCTATAACTCGATCATATTGTCATTTCAAAATCATCTTAGTTTAAAATTCTGAAATGAAAGGTGGTAGGTGCAACGCATTCCTCCAAGAAATGCAAGGATTTTATTTATTATCTATGTTGTCGGCAATTCTCACCGTGATCCAAAGAGACGTTTCTATATTCTAATCCCTCTTTTATTTGTGTCAAAAAGTTTCTGCGACTTTCCACTAAGCCAGTGTTCTCACCTCCTGTTTATACTGTCTTTGAGGTGAGAAGAAAAGCTGAACTTTGTTTGAACTTTGCTTTTTTTTATTTGTAATGCTTTGTGTGTAAAGTTGTGGTAGTTTTTACAAAACAACTGAGTGCAGTATAAAATGCCACCCAGCCTGTTTTTGCAGGAAACTGCTCATACAATGTGTACCCCGTCTCTATGGGAGACTGTTTTTTCTTTTGTAGCACACTCGCTGTGAAGAAACAATTATTTACTGATGCATTACTGAAAAATTAGCTCTCAGACACATGCCGGTTCCTTCACTTCAGTATTAGACAACTGTATTACATCAAGAAGGAGTAACGAAACCCACTCATATCTGTAGGAGGGCGTGCTATTTTTTATATTGCTTTTGTGAACTTGGAAGTTGGAAATTATTATCTAAAGCCTGTTTTACACAAAAACAAAACAAAAAAATGGGCAGTTTAAATAAAACAGGAGCTTAAAGATCTGATTGGTTCAAATTAGCTGTGCAGAAAAGTGTGTTTCTGGTGATCTGCAGTAGCAACAGATCAGGAACAAACACAGGAGGTAGATATACAGAAAGCCAAGCGGGTCATGATTCATACGCTTTAAATGTCAGCTTGTGTCTAATGAACCATGACAAATATACAATTTATAAAGGACCACCTAACAGCAGGGCTCTCTAGTTTGGATCTGAGCCTTAACTCAGATTTCAATCAGTCGAAGAACAACCTTTGTTTTGATTGATGAATAAACTCAAACTTCCTTTTTTTAATCTAGGGTTAAGAGTGTGGAGATTTATTCTGTTGTATGGGACAAAGAATCCAAACGTCAACAAAAAAGCATGGATTCATTTAACGAGTCTGTTGTTGATGACGATAGTTTTTACAAGCTCTCACTTTATGTTGCTGTCATTTTGCAATCGTTTGTACCATCAGAAAAATTCTGACGATTTCTGAAATTGGAGAAAAATGGCGTGTGCACTTCATGAAATCAATCAGCTCTTAATCAGGGCTCTTGTGGTTTGCTTTATACCAAAGGTAACGTCCCCGGTGACAGCCGTCGTGTACGCCACCACCAGTCCGAACTCTGTGGTCCGGACCTTGCGGCTCACAGACTGTGATTGGTCAGAACTTTGTGGGCGTGTTTGAGGAACAACACAGCGCTGTGGAGCAGGACCAGAGCAGCTCTTCCTTCTATGATCTGTTCTCTGAAGTTGGTTGTTAAAACAGCGAGATGAACAGCTTTGATTAGCAGCTGATTTGATCCTATTGAACGTGTGAGCATGCATCTGATGTTCACGTCTTTTTTCCATCACCGCCATTAACAAAAAAAGGGTTTCCTCCTTGGACTCTTCACCCAAAACAACACTGATCATTGAGTAGAAAAATAAAGCAATATCCAGCCACCATTGTTGTTTATATACTTAAGAACTGTGGGAGGAATTATGTTATTTTATGCCCCGCCGCATCTTCAGACTGTTTACACTCAGTCAGGAAAAAGACGTCCGAAATGACACAACCACCGACCTGCTGTCTCACGTCATATTGAAGTATAAACTAAGCTTAAGCCTAAACAAGAACTGCTCTAGTCTCATGGAAGATCAAGAAACAGCCCACAGTGAAGCCTGTGAAGCAGAGTATATGGCTCTAGCTTTTATGACACAATAATGTTTTGAACACTTTTTGAAAGGTATGGATATAAATACGCACAAACAGTTGTGTACGAGGACAACCAGGGGATAACTGCTTTAGATGAAAACCTCGTAAGCAGACAAAGATGTAAAGATGTGGATATTAAATATCATTTTGTGAAACCCATTGTGAATGCAGAGAAAATGTTTGTTTCATTGTACTACTGAAAAAATCATTGCAGATATCATGATCAAACCTGTTTCTAAAAATACAGAAAAGTTTGAAAATGTTATGTTTGGTGTTTGAAAAAGAAAGAAAAAGGGAGTAGATGAGATTCAACATTATGCCTTCATGTTCATTGCTGTCAATGCTGCCCTGCTCAACAACATCAACTGACAACAGTTTGAGATGCGGACAACAACTCTGACAATTTGAAAGGAAATTTGTTGCAGAAAATGTTTTGAACATGTTCAAAACACAAGCAACAGGACTGCAAACCACGAAACAGACCCACTGTTAGACTTTTTAGAGATGCTGCTCACCAATAACTGAAGACCAGTGAGATACCAGTTTCAGGTGAGAGGGTTTCACATTTTATTTCTGTTGCTTTTTCACATCAGGAAATGCAATTCATTGATGTACAGATTTTTGTAAGTTTAAGCTAAATAACTGATACAAACACTTAATTCTTGTACACTTTTTACTAAAAGAGACATCTTTCAGATTAGGAGTTGAGCAAACTTTTTTGTTTGACACATAAAATGTTTGACATGTATTGAATAAAGTAGGATTTTTACTTTAGAGCCTCTCGATGAATAAGGCAGGTTTGTTTTTCTGTCTGCTTCTGAGAGATTTATTGTCAATTTAAAACAAGTAAAGAAAGAATAGCACTTGGCTTTTGCTTCTCTTCATCTTCAACTGAACTGTGACCCTAAAACTAAAGTATTTATTGAAGTGAACTCTACACTGCCACACCCATGTTATGTATTATAATCAGACAGAATTCCTTCACATAATGTCAGTCTGAAAAAATGGTTACTGAAACATATGGTGAAGTAGACAAGAGTTTATTTTCTGAGAAAAAGCCAGAGACTTACCTGGAAGTAAAGCAGCAGCGCCCCAATCAGGATGGTTTCCAGCAGAATGAGACCAGATGTGCGAATGCTCTGTCAGAGGAAAGGAGGAGAAGCTTACAGTAGTTTTAATGAAAGATTGTTTGTTCTTATCTGTCTGATTTTAAATAACCTCAGCACAGACAATATTATTAATGTACACAGCAAAAACAGGAGTGTTAAAATTTCAGTGTTAAACTTTTGGGTGTTGACTTAACACCTCCTAGTGTTATTTTAACACTTTCTGAGTACACTCACACCCAGTGTTGGTGTTAATTCACAGTGTTGATTTCCTCAGTGTTGTATCAACACTGGACAGTGTTAAATAAGCTCCGCCCACAGTTACGTCTTAAATAACACTATATAACACCATGCAGTGTTGAAAGAAGTTTTGTCAGACAGACCAGCATTTACCCAGCATTCCTTGCTGAGAAATCTGGCAGAAATGATGTTTTTGCCTGTTTATGACCATTAAAGATGTTCATGAGAGTAAAAATTACCTGTTCTGGTTAGTTTTCTTGTTCCGTTTGATCAAGTTGTTCAACTTTAAATTTATGTTATTGGTAAAAAATTGACACCATGAGTGAGAGGTCTGTCCTGGTGTGTTAAGAGTGACTCCATTATACTTTTCTACTAAATACTGAGCAGTGTTAATGCAACACTACAGAGGGTTTGATATTAACTCTGAGTGTTAAATTTATACTCTCAAATTTATGGTGTATTGACACCTTGTAGTGTCTGTTAACCTTTATAACACCACAATTTCCCATGTTAATAATAATACACTGGTGATACTTTTAACACTTTATTTTAACACTGTTGAGATGTTAATATGACACCCAGTATTGTTCAATTTTAACACAGGCTGGTGTTACTGTTAACACTATATTTTAACATTAACACTATTTTTATGTTAATGTAACACAAAGAACTGTTCAATATTAAACATTGGTTGGTGTTAAATCAACAAAAAAAATGAGTGTTAAAATTTAACACTTTCACAAATGTTATTTTAACACCAGCGAGTGTGGACACATAGACACTTCGTTGGTGTTGAAATTAACACTGGTATTTTTGCTGTGTAAGTTCTATAGATTTAAAGCAGTCTCTGATATGTTTAGTTCAGATTTGGTGAACAGCAAAAACAAAAAACAAACTATTTAATTTTTTCATCCTCTCTGTGAAAATGTGAACTTTTTCTGGGTTAAATTGAATTACCCCCACACCCCCACAGAGGCTCTTTCTGTTATGGATGTCTGTTGTGTAAATCTAAACGCCTCCAGGGACATTTCTTGTGAACTGGGAGATTCAGAGGCACCGAGGCAATCTATATATAGCTCACCTATAAAAGTTTCAGCTCTGCTCTGCCTGAGGGCTGTTACAGATGAGAGGATCTTAGGTATTCATGTCATTTCTGTTGGCAGAGTGTGTCACATGCATGATTCTTTACAGGCATTGCAGTTAAATTAGTTTAAAGCGTATTAGGAAGTAGGGAAGCTCTCAGTGTGCAACAGAGAGTTTTGGGAAGAGGGGAAAAACCAAAACCAAAGACTAGAACAGAATTTCAGGAATTTTATTCGGTTGCTATAGAAGCTCCTAAAAACTGTGATGTGAGATTTGGGAATCACTTTCTGGTGTAAACCTACTTATTTTTTTTTTTACTTTACAGTTGATATTACTGAGAACAGCACATTCACTAGTCAACTCATTGAAGCTTGTCCTCTCTCTTAAATGTATAAATTTACATGAACGTAGAATTTATTGAAATAATGCTTGTGGCTCCTATGTTTTTATCAAATATTTAGTGAGTTTTAAAAAAAGAGTTTTCTCTGCAGGGCAGCTGGACTCTCCCTTACAGATAGGGTAAGAAGTTCAGTTATCCAGGAGAGACTCAGTAGAGCCGCTGCTCCTCCACATCGAGAGGAGTCAAGTTGAGGTGGTTCATCTGGTAAGGATGCCTCCTGGACCCCTCCCTTCACATATGTTCAACTGGGAGGAGACCCCGAGAAGACCCAGGACACGCTGGAGAGACTGTGTCTCTCAGCTGGACTGGGAACACCTTGGAGTCCTCCCAGAAGAACTGGAAGAGATGGCTGGGGAAAGAGAGGTCTGGGCTTCACTGATCAAGCTGCTGCCCCTGAGACCTGACTTCAGATAAAGAGGAAGATGATGGATGGATGGATGGATGGATGGATGGATGGATGGATGGATGGAATTAGTGAGTTTTGTTTGCGCTCCAAGTAAGCAACGGTCAACTGACCAGTGTTGTACAAAGTACCTGAAAGTGATACCTGAGTAAAAGTACAAGTATCTTATCATAAAATTACTTTGGTAAAATTTCAAGTCTCCTATAAGAATACTACTTGAATAAAAGTCTTAAAGTATCTGATTTATTTTGTACTTAAGTATCAAAAGTAAAGTTATGACATAAAATGTATTTAAGTAATGAAAGTAAAAGTATTGAGTAAAAATGAATGGTTAGATTTTCCAAAATACTTTTACTGGAAGGTGACCTCTTCAAAACAATTTTTTTTCTAAAGGCGTGCAACTTTGATAAATTGTATACAAACTAATACAGTATCAGAATGGTACATGTTTATTCTTCTCTTCCAACCACAATTAAATTCACTCTATCGAGGAGCCACAACTTTTCAGGATAGTATTTTCTTTTAACAATAACAAGCCGAAATGAAATAGTAGAAATGACTTTCTACTACTTACCTTTTTAAAAAAATGTAAGGAGTAGAAGTAAAAAGTAGGGTGAAAAATAATTACTCAAGTAAAGATAACCAAAATTTCTACTTAAGTACGGTAACAAAGTATTTGCACTTAGTTACATTAAAACATTGCAACTGACTTTGATGAATCGGGTTGGTCATCTGTAGACTCTGTTTACTGTTGGAGAATCTGAATAAAGGCTGCCCAGTGTTTGAGAGATTTTGCTGACAGCTCATGCATATGGGTGGATGCAATGCTTCCCCAAACTCCACTTCCACCCCCATAAATACTTGCTGGCTGCCCCTTGGCCTCACCCAGACAGACAGTCTTAATTAGGACTTAATTAGCACCACTGTAACAGAATAAAACAACTGTGCACTATAACAACGCTGTGAAATAAATGTTGTGTGAACTAAAAAAGAACATATAAACAATCCAATAAATTTAATTTAGCAAATAAATATATTTGCATTACAATCATAACTTGTGACAACATAAAAGATCCACACAGAGAATTATGATAGTCCCTTTGTTAGAATTATTAACATTAATTTAATTGTATTCATCTTGTTCTACATGGCTTTCCTTTTGCTGTTGAGAGTTCTTCTGAAATTAGGCCTTTTTGATTATCCGTAATGACTTTTGGCACTTAGCAGAGTGGGAGGTTGATGAGTCACGTCACAGTGAAAGCCTGCTCACCACAGTCAATTTCTAATTTAACCTGAAAGCAGTTATTCTTCTATTTCAAGTGCAAATATTTTGCAGAAAGACTCCAAGTTTTGCAGTTAAATAGAGCTCAACTTTCAGAGCTCAATGTAAAGATACAAAATAAATGTACAGAATGCAGAATAGGTGATGTATTAGTTTTGGCTCGGGTTGTTAGCTTCCAGTTAAAATAATTAAGAGTGTGACAATGTTTACAGGACAGATGTGTAGTTTTTTTTCCATCCCTCACCTTGTTTTTCCTGAAGTGGTAAACTGTAAACATGCTGGCCAGGTCCAACATGATGCAGAGACCCTGGAAGGAGGTGACGGCGAGCCGCAGAGCCCCATCCTCCTGCACCAGGCAGGGGGTATCGTCCTGGCAGGAGGGGCAGCCCTCCCGACACGGCAGGCACTCGTTGGACATGTCTGAGATGTCATCTCTGCTGGAGCCCTGCTTCTTACCTGAGGAAGTGAGGACACAATCAGTAAGTTCTAAATAGTTACATTTATGCTTGATACCAATCTCCATACTGTGGTGTTTTCAAGGATCATTGCTGCATTTCATTTTTATTCCACTACACCATAATGACTTATTTATTAATTGTTCAATAAATCAACTTGAAGGATTAAAGATCATCATTAAAATAAATCAAAGAGCCTTGGGTGATAATTGCAGGAATACTGCTTTTAATTAAGCTAATAAGGTAATAGTGAAATAAAGGAATATAAAAAAAATCCAAAATTCCCTTCTCACCCTCCGCGGGTGGTCTCTTTCATCCTCTGAGCTCGGGTCCTCTACCAGAGGCCTGGGAGCTTGAGGGT